AAAAAAAAACCACCCAATAAAACAATAGTGGGGCTGATCAAGGCCCGTATTCATGAAACCGTTCTCATGCTCAATTATGGATTCTTTGATCAAAGCAACTTTCTCGTAACTCAATTAAATCATGTCGAACGATCAAAAAGTCTATTGAAAACATTGAAAGCAATATTAGGATTTAAGTCTCTTTATGATAATTTTCCAAATCATTGCTAAAATTAGATTTTTCCCCCCAGTAAGTTATCACCAGAACAAGAAATTAGACTTGAGCACAAAATACACGCTTGAGCATAAGCACGTTTTCATGATTATGGGCACAGGATGAAGTTCCTGTATATTTATTCTACTTTCAGGAACAATATGACCGTGTTAAAAACCGAACGGAGATGATTGAAAGAGTGCTAGCGATATAAACTCGCTTCGCGACACATTGATGGTATGAGGTCTGAGACGACACGCCAGCATTTGATAAAGAATTATCAGTAAAATCATAATTTGAATGCAAATTCGTTAAAACATGGGCAAAATATGAACAAAGGAAAAAATTGACATGGCGTCCCTTTGCAAAGGTACACCGAGAATAAGACCAGGTCTTCCGGAATGGTAAGCATCTTCTGCTTCATCGACGCCATCCAACATGTAAATCTAAGTCGAATCCAAGTAACGTCACGTCCTCACATTGAGACGTCGGGTAGTGACACCATAATCACAATCACTCTAATGAGCATAATAAAAAGGTCGACCTTCATATAGCACAAAGGAACAGCAAAATGTTCATGCGAGATGCTTATGGCGACCATAAGTTATCCACAGTCATCATCAACTTCCATCTTTGGAAATCCTGTGATGTCACCACATGAATCATGATATCCAGTGCATGCCCTTGGGTACCGAATCAACTGCAACATGTAAACACCATATGTAGGGGAAGAATGGCTGTTGCTATGGAGAAAGGGAAAGTTCAAGACCGGAAAGTCAAAATCGCTAGCTTATTGTTTCGCCATCCCTGTTGGTCATGATGTAAGTAAAGATCAAGGAAAGTGACAGAAGTTGAAGAGTCTATTTATATGTTCTGTCTATTTATAACTCTGGAGGGTGTATATGCTCGATGTGGTCAACGAATTTCTTGTTATTCAAAGACAACACATCGTCAATATATCTGAATGTGAAATTGAGGGAGACTTGACTAATTTTTTGTTACCGGTTTGTTATTTTGAGAAGTATACGTACTTACTGAAATTATTTTAAACAACAATGGAGATTCACGGCATTTTTTTTTATTTAGTACAGTTTTTGTCGATACAGAATGAGTTTTACACTGTGTATTTTTTCAACTAATATGCAATTTTAAAAGTAAAATTGTTTCAATACACATATTTGCTTTATTTCACTGTAGATTGTTTCGAAGGCAATTTGATTGCGAGTCTATAATTCCCATAAAAAAACCTGATGAAGACATCGTTTTTAATATTATCACGTAAAAAAACATGATCTACATGTGTACCGATATAGCGAAAAGTTTAATGATGCAATGAAGAAAAAACATCGTAACTTGAGAAAAAACAACGTGTGTTGTACGCTATTATCGGAATGTTGCTAGGAGATATAGATTTGGCTTCTCAACATATGTTTTTCACAAGATCAGCTAGGTTTGATAGTGGGTTATTCATATGATATTGACCTATTTAACTACAAAGGTTTGGAACTCATTTGAACCAACCAAGATACGTTGATAAACATTCAAGTGAAATTTGAACTGGCGTATTTTCTTAATTATCAAATTTGGTCTACCAGTCGTAGGTGCGACTAAAATAGTAACTTTAAAGATAATATAAATTAAAATTGCTAAAATTTCTAAAAAATTGTTTTATTGACTTTAAAGGTTATTAAGCTATTGAAGAATCACACTTTCAACACCTGAAATTCACTTCGATGAATTGTTAACTGTTGGACAAGATGACGGGGGATAACTCTGTTATCCTTACATGATTTGTTTATATGTATTTTCATAAAACATCGTTTTACATTACAATTTATAAATAAATAACAAATATTTTATATATTCTTACCTTCAACATTTTACTTGTCATTTGTTTGTTTATGTCCAGAATAATCTTAAATGTAATACCTGATAATATCATTTTAAACCTAAGAAGAAAGATGTTCATATATAGTTACGACGCAAGGGAAATAACTCCGTCATCCTTACATAAACCCCGACATTATGTATTATTATATTTCACATCTGTGGTTTAGAAAGGATACTTTTTGAGTTTATCGGTTGTTGAGGATTGCAGACCAGGGGACAACATCATCAAGTCCTCGGATCAACACAACATGACTACTATGTATAAACAAGTTTTTCGATCGGCAATCATGTCAATGAAAAAATAGTCGATGTTTCCTACGATTTTCATTACATTGTTTTTTGTTTTGTTTTTTTGTCACTACTCGTGTTCCCAACATGGGCATGTAGCATAACTTGCAATTGACCAGTATTTTCATGGTAGGTGTCGTCGACGAAGCCTTCCGGAATATTTTTTTTTCTCTTATTGTATTTTTTCAAGAGTCTCCACTTGATCTTTCCTTTGTTCATATTTTGCCCTGATTTGATCGATTTTGAGTTAGAGTCATGGTTTCGTGGACACTTTGTTATTTTCTTGTTTTGTTTGTTTTTGTCTTGTACTCCATTGCATTGACTGGCAGTATAGAATTAGTTTCTAAAATATCAAATTTAAGGTATTGCTTTTATTTGAACGTATTTACGCGTATTATCCGTTTTTAGAAAGAAAACAAATTATACATTTTTTTCGGACATATTATGATTTGATATAAATGTCAAGTCATTCAAAAATATCATACTACATTTTATCAAGTTAAGAAGATAATTATAAATGATCAAACTGTCTCTCTCAGGATTTGTCATGAGAACATTTTTTTCGTCGTGATCACGTGGATGAAATTGAGAATCCACCGCAGGTGGACTCCAGATTATATATTTATGTGCGAGCGATGAAACAATTAATTTCACGACTTCTCTAGGTCTATTGTATGTCTTCCAATTAACAGAATGTATAATTTTAATTATTTTAATTAAATATTCATAAAAAGTTTAACATGCTGTAAGCGCAAAGAAATGTGTATTTATAAAAATAATATTAATAATTCGAGGTTCTTATATATGTACCGCTTTATCACAACCTAGTTCGTAGGTCGTCTTAAAGTGGTCCACAAATTATTATCTGTGGTAATAGGACCTTTTGCAACCAGTCAATATCTTTCTCGACTCCCTCGGAAGCATACAACCGTAGCTGCCATTTCGGCGCTCTCATCTTGCATTACACAATTCTAGCACTGAGTAGACTGGAACATGCGGAGTAAAGAATCTTGCTTAAAGAACCAATAGGTACCCTGCATGTGAACTGGCTCTGTTGCGGCTAATACATACATGCACGTTAAAGATACTAAAGACTACTTATGTATTATTGTAAAATGTTTGGAAATTTGATGGATTCGCCTGCGTACCAGTGTATTGGCAGCTACGCACCTGTGCCGTTAGTCCTGTCGTGTTTTGCTGAACATTGTATTGATCGTAATTTAATCGCTACATGATTACTTATCATCCATTTGCCGCTTCAAATTGGCATCACAATAAATATGACCAACTGTTTGATATGAAATATGTGTTTGTTCAAGCAATAAATTTTACCATTACCGGTAAGATATTGAAACAAAATCCCCTATATTTACATTATAGATTAAACATCATCAGTTATTTGAATACAGGAACTCGTTAATTTTCTGTATTAAAGTGTCTATATCATCAGTGGTAACGATATTCATTGAACAGCGTAACGACATGATCACCTGAATGTTTTTACGTTAGTCCCAAGTAATGTTATTGGAGGCGGAAACAGAAGCTCCAAAATGACACTGATCAAATTGGGTAACATTTTTATATGTAATAGCTTACATTTTATATGTAATAGCTTACATTTTTATATGTTATAGCTCTATGAAAGGAATTTCTTCTGGTAGAGTGTATAGGAAGTTGCTGTGAATAAATAAATTGAATGATATGAAAAATTGAGAAATATTACAAAGACAGAAAACAATCTTTTATTCATAAACGATTAACTGGAAAAAAAAGATTGATGGATTTTTACGGGTCTACTTGCATCACATACAGGTATATAATATAACGACCATGCACGACACTTAGACAACATAAGTTAAACGTGAAATATACTGCAACAGGTTCTGACGTTTTACAATATTGCTTCTAATAATTACAGTAAACACATATGATCAGATACATGTATAGTTCAATTTAATAAAGTTAAATTTTAAAAATTGATCGATTCATCCCGTAGTATAGGTAATAACTGGAGTTAGCAATAAATAAGAGGTAATACGCAAACAAATACATAGTAACATAAAATGAGTTGTTATATGTAATTGCATATTTATTAACTTATTCTTAATTATTTTGCAGTTCAATATATGGGTTAACAACGATAGATATGAAACAAATGAAATAAATCCTTATTTATTTAATTAATATCTACCGTCGTTAGTCGCATGTGAAATAAAATTTAAGGAATTTGATTTGCTAGTTACCTCCCTGTACATACATTGGTCGAGGATGATATGAGGCGGAAAGTGCCAGGATCTTCTCTATAAAAGTAGGGCCTGTGATGTCGATGCACTATTCATAAATAAAAACCCCGACAAAGCTGCATTTTTATTTGAGACAGTATGTGTCTTGATACCATCAAAACGCTTGGGCTACTAGTAAATGTTGTGCCGGAGAGGAAAGCGTCATGGTGATCGAGAGTAATATATTCATTTTACTTCTCAATGGACAGATCTTAACATATACAACCAGATAGCATCAGAGTAAGCCACATTTATCAATAAAATATATAGAAACACATTATATATTAACGATTGCAGTGGCGGATCTAGAGGGATTTTCTGGGCTTTATGTACACAACTGCCCCCCCCCCCCCCCCCCCCCCATCCCAAAGAAAATTTGGAATCCCTCCCAGATGTTTCTCTAGATCCGTCACTGGATTGTCACGGTAGCACCATTCATCCAAGGCCTAAGGTTATAACATATTAGTACGTATACGTTAAGTGAGTTGCGAAAACAATATATACAGAGAGGAAAAAATGTCACTCTTTTACAATGAATAAGGATAGAAATGACATTTTCAGAAGAACGCCGCTTTGAATCACCATACTTTCTTCAAGTTTAGCAAAAAACATTAAAAAATATCGCAATATTGTTATTAGTAATTATTTTTTGCGCGGAAGGCAGTTTTTTTTTATCTACAGGTATCTATTGTTTTGACGTAATATATGACGTCATGACCGGCACATTATAATGGATAGCCTCGGGGAAATATAGCTGTATTTGGGTAAATAGAAATTAGTGGTCTCTGGCCAAATTGGTTGAAGCAGTCGTTTTACACATGAAAGATTTTATTGTTGTTTACTGTCTACACGTATATTTTTGAAAGTATATAATTATGATGCTACCAATGTTCCAGTACATTTTCTTTCACTGACGAATTTAGTTTACCGTAGAACAATCTTAACCGTTAACATTTGATTAAAGTCATCTCGAAAAGTTACATTTCGGATTGTTTATATTTTCAATGTCAATCATTTCCACTAGGCGACAATTCCTAATTAACAACTCCGAAAGTGTTGCATTTTTGAACTTCCGTTCTTCTGTTTCTTCTTTTAGACGACTTCCGGATTTCAATGAAGACGGCTTCCAATTAAAAACTTAAATATTATTATATTTATACGTCATTTCCTGTACCTCCGAATAAGCAAGATGGACGTTACTTGAAACAACCGTTGACTTTCACACTTGAAGAAGGCCAGGAGGCCGAAATATTGTGACTAAGAATGATATTTGTTCTATATTTTTATCTTTTTCCCCCCCCTTTGGAAATCATCTGTTGTTAAATATGAGGGCTAAAGAGATTGCAATAGTTAATTGTGCATTTTCGGTTAATACGTGTCTCTCTAATTTATCATAGCATTAACAGCATATCTCTTGTACATCCTATCAGCAACACTCATCATATCTATATTTTATATTCCATGTGTCGATTTATTTACATCGATAGAGTCAAAGAGATAACTTTTAGCAATGTATAAATTACTTTGAACACTGTATAATACAATGAACATTGTATTGGTGCATTGTAATTTACACACCGATTGAATGTCGTCCCCTATACAATGAACGTACATCGCCGTAGTATAAAGCAGCAACGTAAATCACCCTTTGATCACGTGATCAAATCTATTTAGTGAAGTTCTTGAATTTCATTGTCAACTATTAAGTTTTCCTCCAACAACTGGATACTACTGTTGTCTTGTCATGCTCAATACTACTGACGTGTGCTGTATTAAACTTGAATGACATAATTGGAATCATAAATTTCGATTCACGTTTGACGTCATAGTGGTCGTGAGACTTAAAAAGGAGACTAGATATATTGGTTTGTTTGCTTATGAATTTATTTATTTATTGTATTCTGGGCCAAAGGATGCATATTTACAAAAGTTTGGAAATTTAGATCTATGGTTTTGTGTTTTTCAAAAGTTTGTGACGTCATCATGTGTTCATCATGACGTCATAATAGGTACTTTTTCACATTATATTTATCAAGTCTTAAAGTGACGGTGTTATTACATTGCATATCTAAATATGATACATTAACTTACAGTGATTTAATGGAAATGCACAGCTAGTTAACTCTGATGCACCGTAAATGAACTTACACTGTATGGAATTTCAGTCGTCATGCCGACGTCAACAACATAAATAAACAACTTTATATCAATAACGTTATACGTCAACATCTATATAGCAGACAGTACATAACAGGATCCCTTGGGATATATACATTATACATTGTATATAAATATCAACATGAATTACTAAACTAATGTAAAAAGGAAAATTTTCGCGTGGGAAAATGTTCGCAAGGTGACTCTGTAACCTGATCGGGTTGTGAAAACTTTCGCGTTTACGAAGCTTATTTTTCCTACACATCTATAATGTACTGGTATATTGTCTTTAAATGAATATTCGCGTGTTGATATTTTCGCGTTTAATCACTCAACGAGGAAAACGCAAACATTTCCATACCGCGAAAATTTCCACTTTTACAGTATACTGAATATTAAAAGCATCACCGTATGTGGTCACCTTTTGTGGTACATCATTTTCAATTGAATGTTATTTCAACTGTACACACTCCTGTTAGGACAAAATACAGAACATCCTTGCAGCTGCAACGAAGGGCATACGATGACACGCATCATTCAACAGTTTGGCAACGTAAATATTTTACACACGTTTTTTTTTCTCATGCTAGTATTCGTGCAAATGTAGTCATCCTCTATCAGCCATTGCAACCAGTCAAAAAGAATTCCGATAAAGCTATTTTGTAGATTTGTTTATAGTCACGTGAAGAACAAACACTAATGCTTTAAAGCATCTTCTGCTGAGAGAAGTGTTTACTGGGTCGGTATTCTAAATAGCTCGTATGTCATTCAATAGATATAGAAGTATACCAAGTCGGTATTCTATATACATTGTACTGTATACAAAACATATATCCTCTCAAACATCATCGATCCACTTTATCACAGCAGGGCATCTGTTGTCTCTCCTTTTGAATCACATAACGAATTTCACCGTTTCACAACGTCCGGAGGCTAGAATTCAGGATATGACACAGGCCCTTGACTTTTGGGCCTGTCTTGCTTTTGCTACAAACCTAGCCACTTGAAGAGCAGTGCCCATGCTGTTTTTGCCCTGTACAATGTCTCCGTTCGCTGTACGATACCCGTTTGAGGTGTTCGATTGCAAGTTCCTGCTCGGCAGACACTGGAGGAATTCAACACTTTCCTCGTATTCCGGGTCTGCTATTGATAGGACCGTGAAACTCCCGTCCACGGCTCCTATTACAACTGTCTCGCCTTCCGCCGTACTCACCATTGCTTTCACTTCGGCATGCGCTTTGAAATTGGCGACCATTTTACCGTCGGACACACGAAACACTCTGATTGTACGATGTCCCGAGTGGTAATACACAACATGCCTGTCATTTTGCGTGAACAAAACATCAATGCTAAACACTCCTTCAGCCACTCTTGGAATAAATGTTCTAACGGTCTTGCCCGTTTTCAATTCTAGAAGTTGCAATCCTCCTCTGTTTGGGGCGTACAATCCAAACTTTCCATTTTTCATTGCCATACCATTCCATCTACTCACAGATCGCGGGACGGTCTTTTTCTTGAGATCAATGACGTTTCCTTTTTCTTCATCGACAAGCACAATTTGGTGGGGGTCGTGCCTCATCGCCCTCATTGACTGCACCGGTTTGTAGTTGTTATACTTAAGTCCAAGGTTATATAGATGCGTGCCTGATTTCGCGTGGTAGACCCCAAGGACGTCACCACTTTTGTCAGTGGCAAGTACCGCAAAGAACGACCCATCTATTGTCAGAACGCCAGGTTTGAAGACTCTGAGATTGTACTCAAAGGTGTAAACTTGCTCACCCTCAGGGAAGGTGTAGGCGGTCACCTTTCCCTTATTAAACCCTTCTTTTGCCAATGCTATCACCCGTGAGTCTCCTTCATTCATAAGGAGTTGTTGAATGTCTTTGTGAATAATCACTTTTGACGCCGATTCTTGCGATACCTCCCAGATAAGAAGTTTTCCTGATTCCGCAGCAGCCACATATTTTCCATCTTTAGTTATGACAGCCAATGAAACGACAGATTTGGTTTCCAGGGACAACTCGAGTTTACCAGTGCCTAGGTTCCACACACCAATGCAGTTCCTACTCGTTGTAACACCATAATGCGTTTCAGACGCAAGGTCGATGGTTTCGATCGGTTTTTCCATTCGGTCAATCGAGTGAACATCTTCCAAAATGTTGTCAAAGTTCCAAACCTTGATGGTTTTGTCGATGGAAGACGAAATTACTTTATTACAGCCGGAACTAACCGCCCGTAACGATATAATCCTTCCGAAATGAGCATCAAGAACTTTCACCATATTGCCTTGTTTTGTGTCCCAAACGTACATATTCTTTCGTACACCAGCCACGACGAAATGGTTGTGTTTTGTGAATACAACCAAAGTGAAGAGTTGGTTTTTAGTGGGGATATTTCTGGTTCCTGGGGGTAACTTGAGTTGCACAAGTGCATCCGTTTTCAGGTTCCAGAGTTTGTATCCCAGCGCAATGGTTGCAACCAGGTAGTTTTCGTCTTCTGAAAGAGTCAATGCAAACACTTTGTCAAAATTGTCGCCAAGAGTGCGGTCATACCGCCACACACTATCCTCTCGTTTGTACACTGCCACAGCATTGTCGCTTATTTCGATACATGTGTAGAGAACGTTTTTTTCCTTGTTCACACTAATGCCACTGTGGAACTCAAACGGCTCGATTGACTGATCTTGAACCTCAAGAGCCATTTCCGTATCATTTTCAGTCCCGGACTTGCATATGAGGTACGTTTTGTCGTCATTGCCTAGGTCTACATGTATAAGAGGCATCTTGAGGGGAGTGTCGTGTTTCGATAGCATCTCCCCCTGTGTGTTGTAAAGGTACCACTCCTGACTTGTCCAGATGGCAATGTGTGCATTAGATATCGAGGTTCCGATGATTGAGGCGGTCTTTCCGTTCATAACAGGTGTGATGATTCTGTAGTCACCGGTCATGATTGTGCATATCACAACCTGGTTGTTGTTTGTGAAGCTTGCAGCGTATTTGTCATTTTCACAAATAGAAAGATTTGACATTATGCCACCTATTCCTGGCACAACATTTCTGAACACTTCGCCGTTAAGAAGATCCCATATGATGAACTTGTTCGACACAGATACTAGGTAACGGCCGTTTGAAGTCGTACCGATACCAAAAGGAGCGAACGGGTGTCCTTCTAATGAGTATTGCAGTGGCCCACCAGGCGTATGGAGACAGTGGTGCGCAGGAACTAAGGCACAGTCCTCTAAACCATCACTATCACACTGCTGAATCAGACTCCGAATGTTTGTGTTCTGCTGGTAGTACGGAAGCAGCCGTCCAATGATCTGAGGCCCAAGCATATCCGGGTAGTGGTTGAGAATTGAACTAGAGAGACGAATGGCATCCGCAATCAGTTTTACGTCCTTTTGGTAAACATGTTCCAAGAGATCTTCGAAATCAGCCAGGACAGATTGCAACGGCATCGAACTCATCTTTGCATGGAGCCATTTGTAGTTGAACAAGACAGTGGAGTAGAGATCTTCGTACTGGTGAGATCGCACCAAGTGATACGGCAGTTCACTTAATTTTCTAAGATTGAAGCGTGTGACAGTGCCATCTGAAGTGAATATCAGTCGCTGAATCGGTACCTTTCTGTCACTTTCTCCTTTCATTTCGTCCAGTTTGAACATACGACGTTGACCCTCTGTGTACTCGAATGGTTTTGGGACTCCACCACCCCAGATTCCAAGGAAGTACTCGGAAAGGTTTGCATGAACGGTACTGACAAAGTTGAGGTTCCTGAAATACCTTTCCTTCGCCGCTTCTATAAACTGGCGATGGTACCACCCTACCACGTTGACACCATCTGCCTCTCTCTCGCTCAGATAACCGGGGAGATCACTCCGAATTCTTGTCCACAGCAAAGGTGGAATTCGACGCACGGGTGGAAGATGGTACTGGTACACGTCGTTTAGAACCTTTTCGTCAAGAGAAAGCAGATCTTCTAGTTCGGACTCCGACACGCCACTTTTTCCAGCGGTAATGTATCCGAATGCGTGTGCAACTAATGTTTTCCCATGCTGGATCTCGATTCGTTCGTACAGTTTCATAATGCTATCGTGTATAGTGAATTGAAGGACGGTGGTACTTGGTTTTGTGTAAGATTTCCACGTGCAGATCTGATCGAACACAAGCTTTACCATAAGTGGAAGATTGCATTTTGTGAATGCCTCATTCACCAAGTCCCATTGTGCATCAGTTATTGCTTTATTCCCATTCTTTAACCAGAACTTCAAAATAGTACCACTTAAGTTTTCTCCTAAGGGAAGCACTGCAACATAGTTCTCGTCTGGTTCGATCATGATTCGGATGGTATCCAGTATTCCGTACAGCCGTGGCAAAGTAGACAAAATCATCTTTACATTTGGCGGAAGCTGAGCTGGAAGCCATGCGAGTTGATGTGCACCATCTGCGCCTGATAGCTGATCAAGTGAATCCAGGATCAGTACCAGAGGTTTCTCCTCTGTTGCTAGGTTAAGAAGAGTTTTAAAGTGATGTATCAATGGTGCCAGTTCGTCAGGGATATCGTCCATGGGCGCGTCATACAATACACATATCTGTTTGCACAAGCTTGTCAACAAGGGAATGATGCTGGAACTGTTTGGCGTTGTGCCAAGGAATCTAATGACTAGCATTGGCTCTCTTTCTTCTGGGAACCACGACTTTATCTGAAAAAAAATAAAAAATACTTGTGATTATTTGAAGGATTTTAAATATTGTAACACTGATAAAAATAACTATTGAGTTAAAAACATTTAGTAATGAATACTATATACCGAGGAACTTTGACCCGGTCAAATTTTCGCCCTACCCTGGTAAAATCTGTATTAACCGAGTGTTAATTTTAGCCCTGCACATTTGATAACTTTTTTATGTCTTTAACTAATGTTCCTTCTCATGTCGAAATTCTTCTTCATTTACCCAGTCCAGTGTTAATTTTAGCCCTGCACATTTGATAACTTTGTTTTTGTGTCTTTAACTAATGTTCCCTCTCATGTTAAAATTCTTCCTCATTTCGGAGAGCGGAAACACCAAAAGTTAAACTGCGACGAAAATTATATAATTGGCATCCAGGTACTATGTACACAAGATTAACTGTTGAAACATCAAAGTTTGTTTTTGTTAATTTTACACTATTCTGATAAACAGGCATACAATATCGAGCGCTATGTGTAAATCTTTCTAAATATATCAATTAATACTTATATAATAAATAATATTCGTTATAGCTATGCCAATTATATTATTATTTTTTTCTTGACATTTTTTTAATTTTTAATTTTGGTAAAAAATAATATCATTAATAGAGAAACAATGCTTACCTGACTTGCTCCTTTGGCAGTCAGAGATGTCTTCCCGCATCCACTTTCTCCATGTAGAATAAAAGGTCTGTTTGAAGGACCAACAATATGTTCCTCTATCTTCTTCACAATGTCCCCGCGTCCTTGAAACACTTTGCAATACTTTGTACACGCATGGAGATGCTGTAGGGCCTCAGTAAACACTGGGTCACTGGAGAGTCTTTCGTGTTTTGCCATGGCATCGTCCACAAGTTTAGCAATGGAGGTATGGAAGTGATTCGTAAAGTTTTCTAAGTACTCCTTATGAGTGTCTTTGTCTATACCTTCTCTTCCCCAGTCTACTTTGAAACGAACTAAATTGCTTTCTGGCATTTTCTTTGTCAGCTTGTCGTCACGCAGCACTTGGAGAAGTTTCTGAGCCTCTCCATCTATGTTTCGAGCAGCAAAGTCCACAAATTTGTAAGCAAAGCGATACATTGTTGGGTTGATGTTGGCGATTTCCCTGACGTATGCAAGGCAGTGATCTTGAACGTTATTGGCCTTTAAGATCCCACGTTCAACTTCCCGCTCCGTCACTGAAATACAAAAGAGGCAATATTAGATAATGTTCCTGTGCAAAAGAGGTGATTATGTTTTCAGTGCCTCCGCTAGCGGTCGAACCCAATACCTCTTGTTAACTAGTCTTATGATATACCAAGTGAGTAAAAGAAAAAATACGAACAGCTGAGTTGGTAGGGAGCGGCTAGAATTTACCAGGCTGACATTCATAATCTAACTTCGGGAAAGAGCTCGGTCCGAGTTTTTCAGGGATTCTTTTATCATTTACAGGGTCCTTACGTGGACAACAATGTAACAGTGCTATATTAAGGGTTGACCACTAGACATGTTTTTACTAGTTTGATGCTGTCTCAAATGAATGATAGAAAGTATCTTCATAGCAGAATTGGTAGGAAGCGGCCTGTACATTACGCGGGTGACACGTCAGTTTTAAAGAATGCATAAGCCAAAGAAGGCGTTAAATTACAAGGCAACGATTTTCTCCACGAAAATAACGGATTTTATCACAGTAACATACCGGACATGAAGTAGTTGTGCATCTGTTCGCGGTCAAGTTTTTTGGTTATGAAAAGTACTTGAGCGGCCTTTCTCATGATCCGCTGTAGTTTGAGGAATGTCTCCCACCAGGTGTTCTGGTCAAGTTCTTGAAGTCGCTGATGTCTCTGAAAAAATAGAATTCTCTCATTAGGATAGTTTTAGACTTTATTTCATAAGTAATCAGTCACACCAGAACAATTTAACTCGATTTATACCCTGTTTTATAACGTGTTGACTACGAGAACGTATATGATAATTGTAAATCACGTGATATTTCAAATTGAAAGGTTTCTTTTTCATGAACTCTTGCAACACGTTGTATTCGTGAACACCGAGATTCGCAGTAATTTTGAAGGATCACTCTCCCAATGCACTATGTTGTTTAATTTTTGCAGTAGCATCCCCTTTACTTCCGTTCGGATATGACTGTCAAACAATTAGGCCAGTTCAATTCAATCCATTAGAGCGATCGTTTAGCAGTCTAAAGTTCAGGGTTCGAATCCGGGTCTAGCCTAGGTATTTTTGTTTTGTTTTGTCAACACTCAAAACACTGTTGTTGATTAAATTTTGTTTATAGAATCTATAATCATGCGGTGGAAAGTTCTTGTCAATACCTAGTTTTTGGCAGTGGTTCAGGGATGCTTAAGGGTATTCTTTTTGAATATAAACAGCTATTATCGCTAAAATATATAAGGGAAAGAATTTATTTAGCGAATGATTCATTGAATAATTTGCCTTGCAAATGGTCTTGTGTAGATAAAATATTGCAGTAATTATTTTGTAAAATGCGACAGGTTGATTCACCACACAAAGACAGGCGTATCAAAAACGAGATAATTTAATGCCAACAATTAGCTAATTACTGCGACAGTGTGTCGGCTTTCAAACGACTCACAAATATTTATTACTAACTACTACATACGTCGATTCACTTTTAAATGATTGAACAAAGCATTGATCTTTCTGAAAATAGAATGTATGACGCAGATCGCCTCTTTATATACACAGGGCAGATGTTTTTTGTCGTCAATAAATAGATTATTACATAGCGGTAGTTAGCTTTTTAGAATTACACAGAGTAGGAAGTCATTAAGACAGTGTGTCGTCCACAAATTATGATAAATGTTTTTTAAAAGTTTTGAATACTGTTTATTCCCTAAGCAATAGTTAATACATCCATACGCTCATGTCAAACACACATATGTAGGAAGGTATATTGAAATGATAGCGAACGTCAGAGCTGATGCGCACTGAGTTATATTCTCCATTTTGATGTCCTCAACGAAGGAAGGCTACCATAAACCAATATCGAATTAATTTTACATTTTCCTTTGTAATATATTTCTACATTATTAATCAATATTTAACAATTATGTTTACTTTTTTGTTGTGCTTCACAATCTTTTCAGTCAGTCAGAAAGTTTTTACATAACTGATTAACTGTAAATGTATAAATCAACAGTTGCTTAATTCCTACATCGATGTAATGTAAAATGCTTTTATGTCAAAACATCTCGAATAGAAGGTTTAATAACGCATCTATATTGGTTTATCTACCTGTTGAGGAAGAATGCTTTCATAATTAAATTTAAACAAAGTGTGTAGTTTCAGTCAAATAGGAAAACAATATTTTGATATTGGTATTACTAATTATTCCATTGTGGCCTTAACACCAGCCTTGTTACTTTCAATGCCGGATGGAAACAAACACACCGTTGCTAACCGATCGTGTCCTATCGATTGCGGTTTTCTTTGACATCAAAAGAATACAGTGATAAAGGCTTTTTATCTTTATTTAAGCATCGAAGGGCCATCTATAAAGCGATCTCCGTTAAAACCTATCAAAGCGTCAAAGATCGACTTTGATTTCGGTTTTTAATCAAGAACATTGTCGTTACAATGTAACAAGTCAATACCGAAGATTGATCTGGTATTTAAAACAACTGTTTTACTAAGAACAATATGGGAAGAAAACTCCGACTACTGATGAAATGACATTCTAAAACCATGAATATTTTTCATGTACAACAGAATAAATAGAAGCGCATGGTTAGTTTGTCATAAAAATAACAAATAAAAGGGCCGTAGAGTTACTTTTGAACCGGTAAAGCAAAAGCTACGCAGTACTTGAATGTATGTTGATATTCTTCAAAGAGATAAAACAGCATTAACTAATCGGTGTCATTGTTGTTTTACACACTTATACATTATGTACCATGAGAGCAAATTTTATTAAACAATTATTAAAAAGTTCGACCAACAAAACAATTATTGATGGTAGCGCACAGGGAGTCTTAGATTAATGTGGGAGGAAACTGGAGTACCCGGAGAAAACCCACTTGGTCCAGTATCTGACCCCATACCTTTTCATGTCCTTCCAGGGAATGGAACCTCGGCCGTTTTGGTGACCACCTTATCACATGACATGCTATTCGTTTCAAAAATTAAAAAGTGCTTAAAATATCTGTGTTACTAAATTATGTTTTGCCATAATGCATTTTGTTACGAGGAACCAAAACAAGGACGAAACCATATTGAGCCATCTTTCCGTTTTCATTTCGCACTGACTTTTATTAGTATCTGCATCATTTTTAATTTGGTTTTCCAGAAGGGTGTATTTTTTTCAATTATAAAGTGTCATTTAAAAAAAACGCAATGAAAAATAAATCAGAAATATCCAACAACTATTCATTGAAATGTTTGATTTATTTTGAATTAAAAGCAATGACAAAGTGTTTTTAGTTAATATACGGTATATACCGTAATACCCCTAAAATTGTCTATTCCTTAAATCAGGTATTGAAAATAAGCCAATTCAAGTATGCAAGGCGACAATAGAACAATTCTACTCAAAAAATCATCTTTTTATACAAGACGAAAATTAGCATAATTATTAACTCGTGTTCTGTCCGCGTATACGTAATCAAGTGAGTAGATAGACACTATTTACGTCATCGGCTGTTTTAAGGGATACCAACTTAAACATGCACGGTACAATGTAATCAGGATATTCCCAATAAAGATTATATCCACATTATGTAAATCAAGGTGTGCGTGCCTTGACTCGGATGTAAAGCGAACAACGCGATAGTGTCATCAGCTCCGTGCATCACGAAGTCAATCGCAGGTAACGTTTACTCCTTGCTGCTGAATGAATTTTACGCGCTCGAACGATGAAGGCGATTTTCTTTCCCTGATAGCCTTGAACTATACATCAACGGTTTAACACGTATCGAACGTCACTGGAGCATCAATAAATGAATTTATTGTTCGTTAGCACGATCTGCAAGATATACAACGTAACGCACAAGTTGCGAAACCCTCGGCTGTATCTCATCAAAAATTCAAATGTTTTATTCTAATTCCTGTTAGTTTTGAGTAAATAAGCTTCCAAAAAAATCCACATGCGAAAAAAATGTGTATATATTATATAAGTAATTGTTACAGCTTACATCGTATATAGAATACGTGTATTTTGGAAACCTTAAATCAAGCGAAAAGTCCACACCGCAATAAGTTTAAAGGGTCAAACCTCAAAACATATTCCTCTTTCACAGTTAGCTCTTTCAGTTAATAAAGAAATGATAAATTCGTCAGTTTCGAATAAACAAAAAAGTGACAATAGACGATACATATTTGTAAACGAAAATCAGTGGCGGGCCTGATGATTATATGTTTAATATCCGATACATATTTGTTTAATGATTCTGCAAATCTAGAACGAATATTCTACATTGAACAACACAATATCACCGAAGTGTCCACAAAACAATAATTCAAACTCAAGATCAGTTAAAGAAGGCCAAAATAAGACCAGCTGTTTCGGAAGGGTAAGCGTCCTCTGCTTCATTTACGTCTACTGAAACATTTCAGGAGTATTTTTGCAAAAGATATAGCTCGCTTAATTGATGTTATATATAATAACTATTTAAAATGTAATTATGCTATTTCTAGCATAAAAAAAATCTACATGTTGAATCATGTTGACAATGGTGTTATGTGACGGAAGTATTTAATACTTAGTAATTCAACGTAGGATACAAACATCTGATGATGTTCTTGGTAACAAATGTAAAAAAAGGACGGAAGCAGCGACTTAAGAATACATAAATTGACTATATATCTAATGACATATTTTGATTTTAACCACATACAGTTGTTTATAAATATAATATAATGCACATTTTCACTACATCCTAATTGGTTTGATACTTATCATGTAGAGGTCGGTGATATGTAATATTTACTCAATGTTACTATTTTTAGAAACATCAATTTATTATTCACTTAATGATTTCATTTCAATTATAACGTAACAATGTTCTCCGCCAATTTCAAAATTTTCCTTCTTATAACATTCATGTGTCATGTGCCTCCTAAATACAATAACAGAACATGATACAAAACTCACCTTGTTGTTGAAGTTGGTGAGTATGGAGCTGATCGGTTGGAGTACATAGACGGCTGGCACCGTGTTCTCGTCCTTCATGTACCATTTGTCAAGGACCTCGATCTCGTCCTTCACCGACTTAACACACTCACGGATCATCTCGAACTCCGTGGCAACGATGAACGTCGGTAGAGGTCGGTACCCGTACTTCTGGCCTAGAAAAACCTGTTACAGCAAAGAAAAGACCAGAAAATGTATCATATTGAAATATTCAGTATTCACGTTAAATCTTTTGTTGAAATGAAAGGTCGAAAGTTAATTACAGGTTGTATATTTGTATTTGTCAGGATCCAATCCATGAATCTACTTTAAACAACAAAACAATGTAAAACGTCAGTTCAATGATTTCGATGAGTGATGAAAGTATCCAATTATTTTCAATTCTTTATGTAAATTGAATCGGCTGCATACGTAATTATTACTTTAATATTATAAATTAATTCAAAGAAAGGCTAAAATCGAAAGTAAGCTTGATGCTTCAACTATTGTGATAAGATATATCAGGCATTTGTAATGAACAAAGCATTTTAGTCAACTTCGCAAGGTTTCATTCGAAATTGGCAGCACCGTTAAAAGGATACAACAAATTGACTTGATATACTTTTCATTCATATCATTTCAAAATATATAATTATATTGGACATCACAACAGGATAATTATGCATAAAATAGTTCAAAATGAATACAAATATCCTTGTAAACACTTATCTGACAAAGACCCTGACAAATACGAATTACACGTGTCATTTGCACCATCTGACCCAAAGAAGATATCAAGCAAATTAACCGCTCGTCTGCCATTTTGACCTGGACCTCAAGAAGACAATTGTTTATCATTTGATATCAATTATCGGCGAGGTCAATAAGTGCTCTGCCGTGGACGTCGACCCCTAATTATACTTGTACATGTAGCTATATCTATTACCATTAAATATGATTGATCGGTAGTGATAAACAGTACCCAATGCCTCCCCGACATAGCACTCACAAGAGGGTAAATATGCATATGTCATTAATGTACTACCACTGTACCGGGCAGTAGATGCTGAATTACACATCAATAACCTGTTAATCTATTGAATATTTGAAACCGAAACAAAGCATTAAAGCGAAGGAACAAAATGGCTACAATTTGGCTAAAATACCCGTTAAAATGCATTTTCTTTTTCTTAATGCAAAATGCATACTAAATAATGGCTTCGCGACATGTTATTGTGCTCAGAAACAGAATAATGACCGTATTTTTCGGTGTATATAATTATCTCCATTTTGTTTTTAAAGATAATTTGCATTTCTTATTGCAAAACAAACATACTGAAGAAAACGGCTTCTCATTCTGTAAATGTGCTCATTATGATTGTTTCAACAGAAACATGGCCGAACTTTACGTGTAAATATTAATCTTCATTCTTTCTGAAAAATCCACAAATAATTTTGCCTGTATCTTAAGATATCACTTGCTTCATGCTTTTTATATATTATTTTATATATTCGTTATATATGTGTCTATTAAAAGGTCAAGTATTACGACAGTATGGTCTGGTATGGGCACTGGATCCGTACAAGCGGATGTTTGCTGGATGTGTATCACTTAAGGATACCTGTCCCACTGCAGGAAAAACACTAGAGAGTTCCACTGTACTTTCTGCATTTAAGATAACAAAAAGGTATTGGGACTGGGAAAGGTACCGTTGATCAGCTAGCTCCGTCAATTAGAGAGACTCTTTCGTGTTTGGAGGTACAATGTTCGAAGGCGGATCTGACCTTTTTCCCATTTTTACTCTCCTCACAATGATCACTGTTAAATTTCATATGCATTAGAGAGAAAGTGACGATCAAAATAATAACCTTACGGCTGGTAAACAATAAAATAATATTGACGAAAGAATATTTTAACTGATAATGACAGAAAGTCAATTCATTATTCACTGCTGAATATGTTTACGAGATTGCTTTACAATTGGCAGCTGTCTCGTAACACAAATGATAAAGTGCCGTGCATGTTACAATTCCACCCAATTCCACCATAATTTATTGAATGCTATCGGATCTATTCAAACTGTTATGGTAGTTTCATGTATTTATATACACCCCATGTACCGATTCCATTAAATCAATGGCAGGTAAATAGATACGATGTCCCAATCCCATTGTCAACACTACGTTGTAATGCTTGGTATATTTACAACAAATGATGGTCGTCTGAATCATTTATTCTGTTCGGAAAAGGATTAAAAATAAGATATATATGTCTTTGTGTACCTAATGAAAATTTAATAATGCATGAAGCATAGGACGAGTACCTCAATAACCAATCATTTCATTTTGTGAAATGTATGCGTTGTCACAGCACGGCGTTAATAAACGGATATCATCATACATTATACTATTATTGTTTAAGATATATAGTCGCTTGTAACTGGATTGGCTGGTTAGACTATCGGGAAGTGACATAGATCAAAAATATATCTCGTTGTCAATACACAAGGGCGAATTCCGACGCAAAATAACGATGAAGAGACAAACACAGGTCAGAAACCCCGACATAAAACCGGAAGGGGAACTAATTGCTTCGAAAGTTCATCCTGTACCGCATGCGGAACCCGTCATAAAATATCCCGTAAAATTTAGAAGAGTTTGAAGGCACTAGAAAAATTCAAAACATAGTGTTCAATTCCATCTTCAATTATGGTTGGCCTTGAATTCACATAGGCGAAAATCAGATAGGATGACAGCCGTCGAATTGCTTTAACGTAGATGGAAAGATCTCTGACAGAGAACCCTGGGTAAGTGGGTTTTTGGGTAACATGGTACATCTATCTAGGAAACCCTGACACTTGAGCTTATAGTATAATGCAGAAAACTGGAATGTTACTACTGCAAAAAGGAAAGTTAACTTTCATGAATGTATTTGTTTGACAGCTAAGGTAATTGCAGGGCGTGTCTGCATACTCGTAAGGATGCCTGCGTGCTTGAGGCGGTATATTGGTGTATTATAATTTTTAGTAGTCCGGTGATCACAATCGTCATACTGCCTATATTATCATAAGTGTATTTTTCTTGATATCGTTTCCATTAAAATCAATATAAATGCTTCTCAACGTTTTGAACACAAAATACTCATTTGTCTTTCGTTGTTGACAGTGTAATGCATAAGAGGTCGTTCCTTTAGAGGGATGTAAACGAAGATGGTTACAATCAACAGTCGTTTGGCTAGCGTTGGAAATATTCGCAGAGGATTTAATTTCGCTCAATATATTATACCAAGTGAATACAAGTACCATGAATTATAATGTTCGTGAATATCTATTTGCAGTATAATGTATAAAGCCTCGGACCCGAGCAAATCTATAACAACTCACAACGGTGCTATGTTGCAAAAATTGCAATCAACATTTCTCTAACGCACTCAAAAGTAGGAATGTTACGTAACTGAAAATGGTTTTTCTCAACACGTTTGTTTTCTGGGACAAATCAAATGATTAATAAAATACCTTATTGATTTGTAATTGATATATTAATATTGCAAAATATAGTTAGTCAATGCAATATAGTAACATAAAGAAAATGTGCTAATAGCAATGTGTTTTATCTGAATCCTGATCGACTATACCAGGCACAGCCCTGAGGCGATTAAAAGGTAAAATGAAACCACTCTATGGAGACATGTTGGTATATTGGACTCATCCTCTGTCGAGTTGAATGCATAATTATTCAAATAAAGGATTATATGGACACATTTCCTCTGACACATCGGTAAATTGTAGTGTATAGTCCTATCTTTGTAGCAATACATGATCGTTTCTAATCCGTTTGTTGCGGATCCCTAGTAACTCCAACTTTAACCTATACAAGTCCGCTTACGTCATTAACCGGAAGCTGTCTCCCCGCATATACGTAAATGCGTTGTATTGATTGGTTAGTTGACAAGTTATTTATTAACCTCAACCAAAGGAAGTTGATCTATTTTACAATTGCGCCTAATGGAAATGGCAAGTTTCTAGCATATATGTGGCTTTATCTTAATGCCCAGTTCATAGAAATTACCAAGCTCATTGATTTTATACTGTGAGCCCACGTGAAATTATAACGGTAAGTTTGTATTAATATTTGTCAGCTTGACAGTTTAATTAGTAATCCTATTCCGAAGACTTCTCCGTCAATTCAGCTGTAGTTTTTTCACTTATTTTATCATAAATAAAATCACAATCAAAATATGAATATAAAGAAAATCACTGAACGCTTAACGCAAAACTGATTTAACTACGTGGACTCGTATGAGATAAAACATGCTTTCTCACCTATCGCCCAAATAGACAATTCGATCGTCGTCTCTTTGTGGCTTCCATTTATTACCAAATAACTGCATATGCTTGAATCAGTGTTTCTGTAATTTCAAATAATTTCCATTTGTGATATTTTCAGCCAACACTGTCGTCCCTTTCAATTGCCGCTGTATGAGCGGAAGTAACTCTTTCCCTGGATCAATATAAACGAAAAACAGAGGAAGGGGGGCTCTACGTTCTGATTCGCGTTCCACGACTTTAGTGCTACAGACGAGGAAATTAACACACTTATCAGGAGTATTGAAAACCGGCCGTGTCGCTTTTATCTCATTGTATGGTCTTCGGTTCCGCAGCGTTTATGTTGGCAATGAAAATATGTATAAACGTCAAAATCAACAAAGAAGCGTTGACCTATTTAAGTTGTTTGGACTAGTTAGGGTTGGTCACAAATGTCTTGGACACAGAACAAAGCGCCAAAGAAGGACAAAGTCGTTAACTCCATATTTTGTTATAAACCAGTTTGAAGCAAATGACAATTTCATTCGCATGGACATTTTGGCAGTTTTTCATTAGCGTTACTAAATGTTTCCGCAGTATAAGTTAGTGTCCAAATGTATTAATTGCACTGAAAGGATTAATTTGGGGTTTATAGTATCGGTAGAATATATAATGAATATCACTCACTAGGGAATCCAAATAAAAAAAAGACTACATATATTTTACGCTGATGGAAAATAAAAATCCAATCAGCAAAACATTGGTGGGTTGCTATAGAAATAGATCTATTCATTACAATAACGGTTTAGCTGGAAGGTGGGTGACACAAACTACATCATTGTAACGAGAACAAAAAAATAAACAGATTAAATCGATTACATAGCAATGCTTATACTTGGTGTAGTTGACAACGTAATTCGGCGTCAATAGAAATACAACTTGCACTAAACATCCAGTATACAATTTAGCTACATTGTTTAAGTTTCCAGCTGAGTGACGATGACGCGTTATAATTCAGGTGTAACGAGAGGCGGCTGTGAAACCTATAGTGGGCACGGTACGATGCGCTATCATCCTAGATCGACGATATGTATAATTTACAGGTATTTGAGGCGTCTAAAGGTACATTTCCCCGTTTTCCGGTTATTGAATTGAACAACAGTGTCAGACACCTGCCTTTTTACATTGGCAACACGAAATGTTATTAATCTATTTACCAAATAATGAAGAAGAGTACCATCGGGTCTGTGTCGTCCACCGGTCTGGTTCTTTTATGATCTGATTGATGAAACCGTTTTCATGCTTAAGCATGAATTCTGTGCTCAAACCAACTTTATTGTAACTCGCATTATTCATTTAACACAGTCGAATGGTCAAGTATTTATTTTCTCCAAAATCCTTTGACAAGTCATTGACAAAAAGTGTATTTATCAATGATTTATCACGTAAACGAGAAATTTGGCTTGAGCACAGAATCTGAATTTGAGCATAACAACAGTTTCATGAATACAGGCCCTAGGCAAGATATTGAAACGATTCCACTTATTTGAGACCATGTAAGCCATCCCATATCATCAACCAAAATATTTAAATAACACTTAACAAAGCAAATAACAGGATCATTTGTACGATTTGTTCTTAAAACTGATTCGATAGAATTGTAAATAAGTCAAAATTGTCTCAACGAATTCAACGACAACGTAGTCATTATTATTTCAAATAAAACTGAAAAATAAAGGCTCATGTAAAGTTGTCACATGAGCATTATGCTAAAATAATTAGTCTTCATTGGCATGTTGAAAGCTAATTTCAAGCTTTAAGCCAATCAGAAATTCTGTCGACCATCTTTGTTTCCATTTGTTTTCAAACTCTCGGATATTCCATTTCACCAACAATAAAAGCGAATGAAACATCCAGTTTGATCCGACATTGGATCTACGTGGGTTTTTTCAAGTCACCGAGTTTCAGATCACAGTTTACTTACCACAAAATTTGGACCAATAGAAAGGCGTTGACAGTTGTCGATTTCTTGCATACATAATTGTGTGGTCATGTGATCGTCCGTGGCTTCATCTCGTACTCCCCATCTCATGTCCACCACCTACAAAATACAATAGCATTGTATGTCAGACATTGCACAAAACTTAAGCAGTACCTCTGTTTAAGTACAGCATACCATTTGTCAGCAGATAGAAATAAGGTAACAATTTCTCTTATCCTAGAGAATTATATCTATGCATACTTAAGCAATGTGAGTTATAGAATGTTTCCATGGGGTTAAACTAATATAAATGTACTTATTTTAGCGTACTCAAATATTAGCGCATTATTGAATTTTAACTGATTAGCGCATTGCTGGAAGAGCTTCTATTGGTGTTATCATAATTTAGCGCAATAATCAAAACACGAAAAGCGCTGAAATAAGACTACCGTTTACAGTGTGTCACAATTAGCCTTACACTGGGGGAATTGAAAGAAGGGAAAACCAGCATGTTATTATTGTATGACGTCACGTCGACAATTAATTGACTATGTCAAAAATAACTTGATCCTTAAGAACAGATTCTTAAGCTGTAAAACACTCGTCATGTTTGTCAAATTAAACATCTTCATCTTGTGTGTGCTATAGCGATTGATATTCTTTACTATACTCATAAGCGAGCTTTGCTACTTCGTTGTCACTTCCTCAGTTCCCTATTTGAGGACGTCACATTAATTAGAAGTTTCGCAAGGGTCTGCGTGTACATCTTTCTTGTGTTCATGTTTTGCCGTATTTTTGCGTTCGAATTGCAGTATTTGGACACTTTGGTATTCTTTTGATTTTCTTATTCTATAGCTTTCAGGTATCAAATGCACGTTTTTTGATCAGTTGTTCAGTAAATATCTAATCAACAACCATCCAATTGCTTCAATTATTCAATTACAGCTGTTATATTATATATTTTTATATATAATAAATGTATTATATTTATGTTTTTATATCATTTTTGAGTGTCCTATTTAATTTCAAACAAATCCATCTAAGACGTTTGACATTCGACTAATAACAGACATTCATTTAACAAATCATGACATTTACAAACAATCATAATCAAACAAATCGTAACACGTTATCCCCTTTAGTACCTCAACATGTCTGTGAGATCAGGAGGTTGTATACGTGTTCTGCTTGTTATGGGTCCGTGTTGTACTTATGCCATATGATTTGAAACTATAAAACAGACAGTGTAACACCCAACCTTGACCCTACTAAATTATACTCAATTTGTATGAAGCTTTTTGTGTGTGAGGTGAAAATTGTATGTGATCTGCTTGTTATTGGTCCGTGTATCCAACGGCTCATTTATAGTGTCATGTCGCCTTAATAGCACAGCACAGAGACCGTAATATTCAACAAGATCCTTTTATAACAAACTTAAGTCTATACAGGCAGAGTTGAGCAACGACGTATCTTAATTATCAATCACATCCTACCGCCTGCAGGAATCTAACCATCGACCCTGTGGTCATTAATTAGACTGATACATTACCGACTATGCCATGCGGCTCTTACTATCTTACTATGTATGCATGACATGTATGTTTGTATTAAATATGTGTGGAGACCTAGAACAGACTTAATAAAGATTGTCCACCTATCACGCTTCCTTTGTGCCTGCAACTAAATGGCCCAAAGTGATTACCTCGGCCTGAGAATGGCTTTCTCTTTCTCTAAACGTTAAAGACACGGATCTCCCAAACTCGTGATTGCATTGAGTGTGATAACTACAAACAATTGATATAAAATATAATTGAAAATGGTGTACTGTGGTATTTTATAATGAAGTGCTGTGTCACTGATGACATATAGATCTCCGTCAAGAAAAATGGGCAAGGCTGGTCCAAGGTGCAATATTCACTTAACAAATATGTCCATATCGACAGGTTAATGCAACACTTTGTTTGTTTTTTTAACATAAAAAAGCTGCTATTTCGTGACAGAATATCATTTTGGAAGTTAAAGTGAAAGTGACACGTTATTATAAACCGGAAATTACTCCGCCATTACCGAACACACCACATGGAAGTAGTCCTGTAGTGTCAACGGCAATGGTGCAATTAAAAACAAGAATGTGATCGTTCTGTAAAAAGTCAGGGCAGTTAATGACGAATTATTAGGATACGTCCGAATGATTTAAAGCGTCCGCGTCTTTCAAACGATTATTAAGTTGTTAAATACGGGTTGCCATGATAAAGCGTCTAACCGAAGTCGATAAAAGCAATGATGCTATTTTACATCCACATTGAAAACCCCACTTCCGGCACATAGTGTTAATGTTGGCTATCAGTGTCAATACCTGACAGAATTATGGCTGTGTCTGGTTTGGAGAGATATCAGGTCGATGACGTCATCGAATGTTACGTTCCAAACACTCTCTATCTGTTCAACTATTAACCATTTCAGCCGCCGCTGACCGATTTGGCTAGAAAACGGTCAGTACGGATGTTTCATGGTGATAGTATTTAGTTACCAAGCGTTTTCTGGTTCAGATAAACTGATTTACAATACGTGAAAATATCGGTCAGTTTGGACGATGATTTTGTTCAAATTTTTATTCTGCTACGCTGCCAAACGTTTAAGCTATGTAAATGCCTAACAGGTGATTTGTTATGCTTGTATTTATTACGTTCCCGGATGTAATCTAAAAAAATAAAATTGCTTTGCAAATAAGGAGACGACAATAACATTACAAAGGCATTGAGGGACAAGAAACGAATCATTTCTGTATTTTCTGTATTCAACATCTATATATACATGATTTTTCATTGAGTTTCAATTGACATTAAGGATGTACACCTCTGAGAAGTAAAACAATTCCTGTATTAAACTTTTTTTCTTAAATGGATTTTTTGAAAAAAGGAGTTAATGGCATAGTAGAAAATGCAAAAAAAAAAATATGTCCGTATGTTCGTTTTTGTGCTATGATCGGTCAAAGATACCAATTTAACAAAACATGCGATTGTAGGTGATGTTTTGGGTTTTGACCATTTGCAGAACAAATTCCTAAAAATTTCTTCAAAGTGTGTTATCAGATCTAGATATGTATGAATGTTTGTAGAATTGATGAAAATATTATTTTCTTTTAAATTTTGGAAGTNTTTTTTTAGTATTCAATGAATCAAAAGAAAATGTGTTTCTCTTTCTAAAACAGCCACAAAAATGGGGGGTCGGTGTGCTTCTTTTTTTTTGTCCCATTATCATTTGTGTTATTTTTTACCTTTTTCGGGGTCAAAAATCATCAAAAGTGCTTCAGTTACACTAAATATGTAAAAAAAATTATCAATGATGTATAATTTTCCAGTTTGTTGCACATTATTTTTATCATATTAAAAATTATAAAGTTGTACAGCAACATTGAACCAGCTACAATTAAAAATGGCGACACAATGACAATTTAAGTCAGGTGGCAAATGAAACAAGGGGCATTATATCGAGGTTTTACTGTATATCACAGTGTCCTGTGCATTCCGGCTACAAAGATTAGAGAGTTTCGTTAACGATAATGTAGTAGTTTTATTTAGCCCGTAAAAAACTAATACCGGGTATGTATGTTTTCATAAATCTAGACCGGTGGAACGCGGTAATATCCTTTCGTTTTAATAAAGAAACGTTATTAATTTTATGTTTGTTATTTCTTTACCTGGGATCTAATGACAGACATATCGGAGATTTCTATCATGTCACTTTAGATGACCCTAAAGCAATCTCTATGGGTTATGTAAACACGATATTTTAGTGTGCGTATCAGTTAGATCCAGCTGTATTGCAAGCATAGTGCTGATTGACGTGTATTAGCTGTTTCTGTACTTTGAAAACCTTACCAATCTTGCGTAAGTTAGGTGAAAGAATAATGAGTACGACTAACAGATAATGTGCAAACACGATGAACCTGCCATGTCAGTACGAGTTCAATACCGTCAAATCCCGGAAATTGAATTTCTACACTAACAATGGATCCGCAGGACGGTACTCCGGAATCAATCCAGAAGAGCTTCATGTGATCAATGTAATATAGTTATTCGGTTCATCATTGTACTTTTTAATTGAAATTACTCTTTGAAAAATGGTTTTGGAGAAACGAATACTTTGGTATCGTTTCATATGCATTGACTTGGAAATTATACTCATGTATGTATACAATATACAAAAGGTGAACTTTATTCCTGGTGATTAAGTGCTATATAGCATCGAGTTGATATTTTTCACTAATGCATAACGAAGATTATGAAATGAATCCATTTCGCGAATAGAGTTTATGCCACCATTCATTAAGAAGCTTAAACTATTGCATTTCTAGTTAGAAAGGTAATGCACAACAATTTGGTCTGACAAAGACTCTAAGATGCGCTTCCTGGAATTGTATAAATTAAATTGTGTTGCATATCTTCTAACGTGTGAAAAGATGCAACCCAATCCTTTATTGTTTGGACCAAGGATTCGTTTTTGGGATGTTTGTGTTTTACGTCCTTTTAACAGCTATGGCCAGTTAAGGACGTGCCAGGTTTTTGGTGGTGGAGGACCCGCGACCCAATGGTGGAAGGCTAGTGGAAGCAGAATGTCAGACGCCTTAACCACTTGGCCACTGCGGCGCCTAGACCACAGAACACCAGAGTATAATGTTCTGTTTTATATAGTGATGAAGAAAGAAGTATTTTAAGGATCCCCGTACCACTGCAAAAAACTGTTACTGTGCATTTTAAGAACAGATATTTGCGGCATCACTATATAGCTTCGTTAAATTATTTCTGAAATTGTCTCACTGTCGCTCTAACAAACAAATCTACAGATGTGCCCTGGGAAATCAACTGTGGAACTCTTTAGTGTTTTTTCCTACAGCGGGACAGGCATCCTTAAGCCAGGACGAACTAATATAACAGTAGACAATGCCTATTATCTGATGGCAAAACACCAATGCAAATACTCCGATATAATCAATAAAGCAGTCCCCGATGAGTATCTGCAAACATTGCAGCGGATCATGAGGTCAAACATTGACCAATGTCCGTGAATGAGGCTGACCTACATACAACATCACATCACTGATACAATACTGTCTAAAT